TGGGCTTCTGCTGCCTGGGCACCACCAGGGCCAAGGCTGGCGCAGTGAGTGGGGCCCCTCCTCCCCCTGGGAGAGCAGGGGTCCTATTTGCCCCCTGCCCTGCCTGCGCGCTCCCTGCCCTGCTGACCCTCCTCTCCCCTTTACCCGCAGGACGGCTTTGTCCGGGTGGACCGGGACTACGTGGCGCAGGCAGCAGAGCTGGCACGGGCAGGGGGCTGCAAGCACTTTATCCTGCAGTCCTCCCAGGGGGCAAACGCACAGAGCAGCTTCCTCTACCTCCGCGTGAAGGTGAGGAGTCAGCTGGGGTGGGCTCCTGGTGCTTGTGTAGGAGTCACAAAATGCTGGGATGCTCGTGAAGGAAGGAGTAGCTGAGGTCTCAAGAGTTGCAAATAGCTCTGGGGGTCCTCCTTGTGCTGTGGGACAAGGGAAGGGGCTGCTGTGTGACTGGCTTCATCTGAAGCAGCATAACCCTGCGTGCAGTTTTTATCTTCCTCTTTAAACCTAGAAAGACTCGCTGGGGTCTGTAGCCCAGACCCAGCTCCCCAGCCTAAAGCTGCTTCACAGCTAGGTGGGGGGGCTATGTCCCAGTGAGACGTGAACTATCCAGGGATGGAGAGCCCACAGGCTCCCCAGGTGGGACCATACCTATCGTAAAAGCTTTTTTCCCCCATATGTTGTGTGCTGCCGCCCCCAACACCTGCTGGATTCACAGCTGTCTGCCGGCTGGATCCATCCCCAGGCTGGATGCAAAGTCCAGTTGCTCTCGGGAGCGGCCCGTTGCAGTTAACATGATGGTTGCAAGGGTGCGCTGCTGACTCACAGTCTGTGTCCACTGCGGGCACTCGCCCCACGCTGCCTGTCCTGGAGAGCTGCTCCCTGCCTGGCCTCTTCCAGCTTTGCACTGGCATTAGTGCCGTCCTGCCCACAGCTCAGCAACTCTCTCCTGCCCATTCACGGAGTGGCAGGGATGGTGCTTGCAGTCATCCTTGTCTCCTTTCATTCCTGCCCAACTGCTCTGACAGGGCGAAGTGGAGAACCTGGTCCAGGCTGTTGGTTTTGATCGCTGTACCATTCTCCGTCCAGCGTGAGTAGCAGTGGAGGAGGGAAGGCACAGGGCTTGGGTGGAGGGTTGTCAGGGCAGCAGGTTGATGGAGAAGGAGAAAGGATGCATAAGCAGGGGGAAGTGGAGAAAGCCACCAGCTGCAAATGCAGCTCACAGATGAGCAGACTGCTTCCCAATGCAGAGCTTGCTTTCTGCAGCAGTTTCCCATGGCCCATCCCAGTGCTAGTGCCACGTGAGGTTGGAGCACATAGGTCGGAGATTATCTCTGCATGGACCTTGACCTTATGCAGGGGGGGAGTACTCACCTGTGTCCTTTCAGCTGCACTGCACTCTTGCTGCCTAGGAGAACTGGCATCCTGCTTTTGGCAGCACAGTGGAAAAAGGAGTTGAGTGTCCAGGGGCTCAGCTCAGTCACATTTTGTGGCCCTGCTAAAGCCCCAAAGCCCATGTGGGTTTAGGAAGCTGGTCTGCACCCTGGTGCAGCTGTAAAACCCAGTCTCTAGCCTTCCCTTGGGGATGGTTTCAGGCTGACCCCACCTTACCTCCTCGCTCTGCAGGGTGCTGCTGTGCAAGCGCCAGGAGTCCCGGCCCATGGAGTGGGTAATTCGGCAGTTCCTGGGTGTTGTGGCTCGGGTCTTCCCCACTGCTTACTCAGTGCCTGTGGAAACAGTGGCCAGGGCTATGGTGGCCTGTGTGCTGCAGCCAGGCGAGGAGAAGGTGAAGGTGCTGGAGAACAAGGCCATCCATGAGCTGGGAAAGGCAGTGCCACAGCAGGGCACATAGAGCAAAAGGGATGGCAGGAAACAGCTTGGTTCACCATTCAGATGCTCTTTTGGGCCGAGGATGAATGCACGCATGGGAGAGGTGCAGGGTGCTTATATGGCTAACGTGGAGCCAGAGGTGGGTGCACTTCTTTACACAGTGGCTCATTCTGTCAAGGAATCAAAAATGCAGATGCTGGATGAGGAGAAACAATGTGCTCTGCTGCCTGGATCCAAAAAGCAAATGCAGATAAAGTGGTGTAATCCAGGCCTTGAATAAAACCCTATGACTGATCTGTTTGTGCCAGCTTTGTGTTTAAATTATACCTGTCACCTGCACATCAACAACCCAGCCTTACCTATCGAGATTGTGTCTTTTAGTGACACTACAGGGAATGCCCACAGGCAAGCGGCCATGCAGTAGATGGACACAGGAAGGCAGAATCAGCTCTCAGCTGTCTGTGCAGAGGCTGCACCTCACAGAGCACACGGTGGCACCAGTGCTGCTAAGATAGCGGAGCTCCTGAGTGCTCAGCAACAGCTGCTGAGGCGCCTGGGGGTGGCTCTGCCCACAGCAGGTCTCTGCAAACAACACTGTCCTCGCTGATCTGCTGAGGGTGCAGAGGGCCTGCTGCAGGGACGCAGCTGTTTGGGCCTGCGCTGTCACTTGGTGCCTGTAGTCACATCAACACCACGCAAATACTTGGGTTGACTTGAAAACACCTGTCTCCACATGTCTCTCTGGCCTTTCCTTATATAAATGAATCAGAGCTCAGACCCATGTTCCTCAGAGTGCTGTGCATGTGCAAGAGCTGAGGCCAGCCACACGCACATCTTGGAATGGGCTTGCCCCTGCCCCATGCTGCCCAGGTACCAGAAGGGGAGAAGGTTCCTTCTGTGGGCATGGAGCAGGCACAACGAGCAGTGCATTGTCCCAGCTGCAGTCCCAACTGTTCTCAGGCCTCCTGCTTGGGGTCGAGGAACTTGGTGGCTCGACAGCTGGGATGCAGGACTTACGTGACTCCCAAATTCCCAGCTGGCCAGAGTCCCAGCACTTCGGGTAATGCTGCTTTTCAGGATTTTCTCTGACCTCACCCGTGGCTCCTGTGTCAGTGACTTGGATGTGGCAAATGGAGGGAGCCTGGATCTCATCTCTGTCCTCTACACAAGCAGTTTAATCACTGGGCAGGACCTCAGAAAGTTGGCAGAGGCAGTGAGATGGTGCAAGGCCTGCACCCGAGCAACTCTTTAACCACGTGTGGGGCTCAGTTCAAAGGGACCACAGAGCCACAGTTACTCCTCCAACTGTCCCAGTGAGAGTATCTTTAGAGTAAAATTTCATATCCAAAGGGAGATGAGAGGTAGGCTGGTCAGGAGCATCACACAAGTTTCGGAGGGGTGTTTCAACTTTCCTCAAGTTGGAGCAGGAAAGCTGTTCAAGCATGCAGCACTGGGTTACACAGGCATAATGCACTCCAGTGCTCAAAGAGATTATTAAAAAAGGGAATGTGCTTATACAGGGGAGTGGAAATGAACACCTGAAGTGGTAAGACCTTAAAAGTAGTAAAAATTGCATACAGAAGAGAGATTGAAAAAAGAATGTAAGCTTTGGAAAGTTACAGGTAAAAGGCAAGCCACAGAAGACTTGAAGAAAGCATCCTAAAGGCATAAAAATGAATTATGACTATGTGAGAAGCAGAAAGGGAGCCTGAGGGACAGGATGTGATTAGGCTCTATAGGAAGAAAAGAGCCATCACAGGAAGACTTGAGGAATTACTTGCATTGCCCTTTGCTGTGAAGGAGCTCACACTAGCATCATTCCGTAGGGGGCACACATTTGCATGACTGTCCCAAAGCACGCAGGGGGAAAAAAATAAAAATATTTTTAACTCCATTTTTAGAACACATGGTTAAAAGTCTGCCAGAAGGAGCACTCAGATGAATTGCCAAATACTCTCCTGGGTGAGAATTGCAGTGATCCCTGTACCAAAAAGTCAACATTGTTAAATATGATACTAGTTTTTAAAAAGTTCCAGTGGGAACCAGGAAACTGCAAAGCAGCTAGGCTGCTTTCTATAAAAGGCATGTTGTTAGAAAGGATAATAAAGTCTGGAAATAACAGGGCCCAGGATAAATGTGGTGTAGTGGGAGATTCCACATGGCTTTTGAGGGGGCAGTTGCAAGACACAAGCCTAGAGCACTCTTGGAGGAAACCAGCCATTGTGTATATAAGACAATCTGGTCCTCAGAGTGCACTTGGATCTCCAAAAAGCTCTCCCAGAAGGGCTCTTAAAGAAATTAAGCTGTCGTGGGAAGAAAAGGAAGGTCTGTGTAGTTTCTTACTGGAAATATTTTCTTAGCACTCCAAAGCCTTGAAACACACGAAACAAGCATTTATTGCTGGACAAAGGTCTGTGGAAAATGCAAGCTATTTCTGTGTAACCCTTGTTTTTGCTCAAGTGGCACACAGTTTCTTCTTCAGTGTTTCAGATAAGTCTCTGTTAGAATGCACAACTGCAATCCCAGCACACAGTATAACTTCCTTATCACCCTCTTGTATGGAATTTCCTCACACATTTTGGACCTCAGTTCCTCAGTTTGCTCTGTGCACTCATTAAACCCCCCCTCCCTAGAGCTGTGGAAGAGATCACAGGGCATCAATCACTGAACTACGGCAGAGCCACAGGAGCAGGCGATTTGCCCACCTAGGGCTGAAAGAGATAAAGGAGGTAAAAGTCTCTAGGGAACAGACACTTCCTCCATGGTGTCTCACATGGGGGAAGCTCCAGGTTCCTCCAAGCAGCAAGAGGTCTGCAGAAATGGGGCCATGCCCCTGGCATGCCTGGCATGTCTCTCTGCTTTCCAGGGGCTTGTAGCCCTGGCTGGAGCTGGGAAGAGAGCACAGAAGGGTGTTCAGTGTCTCCTGGACAGCATTTACACAAACCTCCTGGTCCCACAGACCCAAGGGATTCCAATGCTGACTTTATTACTGCAGATTAATGAGAAGAAATAACTGCATTCCCAATGGCTCAGCAGCGAGCGTGGGGCTACGGGGGTTTCCCATGTGGTGCCATGGCCCCACTGTCCTTCCCAGTCCCAAGAACTGCTGGCACCTCTCACCCAGCCCACACTGCCACCGGCTCCTCTCTGAGTCAGGGGGTGCCTGGACAGCTGGCAAAGCATCCTACAAACAGCATCATGCTTGAATGGAGATTTTCAAAGCAGCCTCACTGGCACTCAGTGACATCCTAGTGACGTCCCTGCTAGCAAATGTATGGCCCTGACATGCTCTCTGACCCCAGGGTACTGGTACAGCCCAGCACAAGGGCAGAGCTTGCAAGGCTGCATTCCTTTGGAGAGCAGGGGCTGCACCCTAGCTGCTGGGACTTGGGATGACCAGGTGACCTCCAATTCACTGACTGGGTGAGGCACCTCCATGCTAATAAAAGACCCTCCTCCTGATTCCTCTGGGAAAAGCACAGAATGACAGCAGCCTGGGAAGGAGTAAAGGACCTCCATCCTCTGCAGCTGCCACGGTTTCCTTACCCCCTCTGCAAGACACAGGAGAGGCTGGGGAGCACCTCAATGCCAGCAGTGGGAAGAGGCAACCCACCCCAGCGAGACCCCACATCTTGCACCCCGCCTGGGTACATCTGGGGGACTCTAGTCAGCCCAAGCCCAGGCAAACATCATTTGAGCATCTAATCCTCTGAAATTGTAGGCTGTCCTTTTTTTTCATTCAGTTTCCATTACAAACCAGTACAAAGCTTGCCCAAGCTCTCCAGGGAGGCGCAGTTTCCAACAGACATCCACCTTTCACTTACTGCGCTCAGAAGCTGAAATGCAGACAGTGTCTTACTGCGTAGTCCCAGAACAGGTCCAAAATCCAGCTGGAAAATAGAACCAGGCACAGCTCTGACACAGCTCAAAGAACAGGCCTCAGCTTAAATGTAGCCCCAGGCTGGGGGGCAGGTGGGGCTGGTCAGGGCAGTGATGATCGTTAGTGACCCAGGGTGTGGACAGCCAGGTTGGGAGCAAGGTTCCTGTTCCCAGCTCCGAGTGTTAAACAAGGCACTCATGCACCTTTTCATAGTCACGCAGACAGCCAAGGTCAGGGCCAGGCACACAGCAGGTTTTCAGTGCTGGCTGTGGTCACCCTCTTCACTCAAGTGCTGCTAAGCTGTGCTAGGAGTGACTCCATTGCAGCTGCTGGCTGTAGCTCATCCTCCCCCGTGAGGGGGCCAGATCTTTGGCTGTGGGACCCTTTGGAGCCAGGCTGGTCCCTGTGTTTGCCATGAGCTGCCCCTCAGCAGGCAGCCTCACTTGTTGGTGTTGCACCTACACTGTACCTGAGTGGCTGGCTGAGGCTGGGAGAAAAATCACACTGCAGATGCTTTTGGACTCATCAAAGTGTCATTGTTAGATAAAACCAGAACATTTGCTATGATGAAAAGACTTGTTTTTTCAAGCTTACGTGAAAAGGAACTTGTTCTGGCACAAAATTCACTGTTATCCACCAGCCAGTAGCCACTTTTGAAGCTGTGGATGCATTGACATTAGCCACAGCCTTTAAATCAACAGCAAGACTTCTCATAAGAACTTTTTTTTTTTTCCAAAAGTACTGTTTTTCACTGGAAAAAAAACCTCACTTGAATGAAGCATGTCTACCTGGCTCTTCTAAATACTGACCCGGAGCTTGATATGTTGTTAAAAGAAAGGCTGTGGGCTTCCTGAAGCCCCCCAGAGAGCAGCTTGGCCCTTCCAATTTGATTACCTGATCTCACCCCAGAAAGACCACATTTTTTTTTTTCCCCCCCGTGTGAGCTTTGAGAGAAGAAAACAAAATCCAGAAGCTGCTGGGGCCGGGGCCAGCTGCAGCAGGCTGGCCGGCATTGGTTACGGGGCTGGCAGGGGTCCAGCTCCCGGCGCTATATAGGAACGAGAGGGGGGAGCTGGGCTGCAGACGGAGCCACTGCTGCTTGGTTTAGCCATCACTCACACTCTTCTCACGGCTCGAGGAAACTACAGCCTGCCAAGATGTGCAAAGGATTAGCAGCGCTGCCCCACACGTGCCTGGAGAGGTGAGAATGGCCAGGATGCCAGGGGGCTGCCTCCCCGCAGGGTTCTGCCGGGGCAGCTGGAGGCACAGGGGCTCTTCCTTAAGCATGTCCCTGAGATGAACATCTCATATGGGGACTGGGATTATCCAGCTCTGAACTGGGAGGGAAGGGAGGCTTTCTGGGGGTGGCTCAGTGGGTGCTGCAAATGGCTGGGACCCTTAGTGGGACGAGTGG